CCCCAAATAGTACCCCCAAAATGGGACCAAGTATTCAAATATCTGGACCTATAGGAGACATCTTTCATTCAAACTACACAGACATCTTCTAACACAAATCTTCAACATGTGGATGACCCTGTGGCAACTCTATTCTCAAATATCCTTGGTCTTTTAATCTCTAATAGGTATTCCCACCACTTTTTAAGCACTCATTTTCAAGAACTCAAAAAAGTCCCTGAAGTAGCCTAGTGTACATAGGATTTAATGTTTCCAAACCTGCTCATTCTGTGAGCCTGGACAAGTCACTAGAGTACACCTTCAATTCCCTAATGTGGACTTAGGTGTAAATGCCCCCAATAATGCCTGGCAGACAGTAGGAAAGTAAACGATAAATTACAATCCCTGTGGAGGTTTCATGTAAACAGCTTTTGTTTCTCTCTTACAAATGCTGAGGAGAGTAAAATACAGTTCCACAGAAGTCCATGCTTGGTTTGTTTTGTTTTAATTAAGAAACAGCACATCTAGTTTTCAAAGAGGCTGTCCTATTTTATATTCCCATTTGAAATGTGTGACACATTTGAGCGTCTGTGTACCCTTGTCACCATTTTGCGTTGTCACTATTTTGTATTTTAGCCATTCTGGTAAACATACAGTGTTATCTCATTGGGGTCTTAATTTGTATTTCCCTACTGGTTAGTTATTCAGAACAACTTATAATCTCTTACTTGTCATGTGTACATACTGTTCATGGCTTTACCCAGTTTCATAACCAGAATATTTGATTCTTTGTGGTTGGCTTTGCAAATCCTCTATATATTCTAGATATGAACCCTTTGTCACTTGATAGCAACTTTGATAAAAATCCAAACTATTGATTTTTTTTCCCTTTCTAGATTGCATTTTGAGTTTCACACTGAAAAACCCTTCAAAAAGTTCAAGGGCCTGAAGACTTTCTTCTATGCAGTTTCCCCAAAGTTTACCTGCAACTGAATACTCCGTTCTTTTTTTTGCTGATTTTGCATCTTTTTATACTATCCATTTGGAGTTAACTTTTGCACATACTATGAAATTTAAGTTGAGATTTTCCTTCATTATGAGTGTATGTGCAATTTCCCACAGCATTTATTGAAAAGATTATTCTGCTTTCTTTAAAATCCCTTTGCCATTCTTGGAAATTGAATTTGGGGCCTGAGTTATGTAAGACAACTGTCAGCTACTTTTGTATCTTTTCAAAAATAATTTATTCAACATTTGTGGGATTACTTGCACATTCTTTATTATGTTCCACTGGTCTGTTTCTATCCATCTTCTAATTGTATATTGTCATAGGTACTATGCATTAATATTCTCTAACTTGGAATATAAGATCTTTATGCTTAGATTATAGAACTATTCTTGCTGTGTGAGCTGTTCTTCAAACTTCAGCCTAAATACAGCCTCTTTTATATAAGGCTGACTGTAGCACTTCTTTACTGGTAAGCAAGCTTTCCTAGCAATGGCAGAATAAAATTCACATGCTCCAAGCTAATCAACTAGGTAGTCAATTGTTTTTCAGCCTTGATCCTTGTCTGCCTCCAATTTAATTTGCTACTCTTATTTACACTTCATCTTCTAATAACACACTATCAGGTCTTGGGCCTGTGTTCATATTGGGCTATCTGCTTGAAGTTCGTTTTCCCTGTTTCTCTTTTTGTTCAATTTTAAAATCTGTGATGACAAATTTTAAGTGTAAGGCAAATTAGATTAAGGAGTTTCTAGAGGTATTAGTGAGGGTTGGAGTAAAAGTGTTACCAGAAGAGGTTATTCTGAGAGTCTAAGTAGACCACCTAAGGAAGATATACCCTCAATGTGGAAGAGCCCATCTGATCTGTTGAGGCTATGAAAATGCACAACACTAATTTCAAAACAAAAATTTTCTTCTGATGCTTGGACATCAGGACTATCAGCCCACTGACCTCTGCATCCCTACTCTTAAATTGGGGTACCACCTACAGCAGAATCTCTTTGTCTATAGCCTCTCTTTTTAAGATGACTTATACTATTGGCTTCCCTGGTTCTGAGGCCTCTGCAATTTGGCTGAGTCATACTACTTGAATCCTGGGGTCCATAGCCCATGGGTAGACTGTGCTGCTACTTCTTTGCTACCATAAACACATCGTCCAATTCCCCAAATAGTTCTCCTCTATAGTATCTACATATTGTAACATATTGTTTCTATCCTCTCTAGAAAGCACTGATTAAAACTGTACATAAAATAAGTTTGACATCTACTTCCTAACAACTCAATAATTACAAGGTGCCTTGCATAGATCCCAAATTGCCACTACACATGATGACTGCTGATGCAATAGTACCCAATTAAGTACTTTTATTCATAGTCAGAATATGTCGTATTAACACTTTTTAGTGGACACATATTACACATATGTATGGTACAGTATTGTAATCCAATACATACACACAGTGCATAAATAACAAATAGTATTTCCATCTCCTTATATACTTATTGTTTCTTTATGATAAGACCCACAAATTCTTCTCTTTCAACACACTGTATATGGTATAGTCACCCTTATTGTGCCATGGAAGACTGAAATTCACTTCTACCTAACTGCATTTTGGCATCCATTATCTTTGCCACTTCCCAAAATGATAGCCTCGGACCTGTGGCTTTCAAATGGGTGTCTAGAATCCTCTTCAAGTTTCTGATGACAAAAATAGGAAAGGCTATTAAATGTTTTTGAGGTAACACAGACAACATGTCAAAACACACTAGTTGTCTCCTCATGCATTCTCCTATTCTGTTAAGTCTTAGTTGAAATGTGGTGGACTTTGCCTTCCTGAGACAACACAATCATATATGCCTTTTATCCCAGCAGTTGGGAGGCTAAGCAGATGAAGCGCAAATTCAAGGCCATCTTAGGCTACGTAGCAAGATTGTGGCTTAAAAAAGAAACAAGGACTACTTTCACTTCTCTTATCAATGAGTAAGATTGTGAGATTGAATATTAGAAAATTGAATGTAATGAAAATTATTTCTAACTCCCAGATCAGAACCTATTTCTATTTCATTCTGTCTTTTATTCTGTTCAACTACTAGAATGTCAATGATGAATGACTACTGGTATGAAAGCAGGATATTAAGCTTCTCAGAGCACTAAGCAAAAACAAACAAACAAACAAAACAACAACAACAACAACAAAACAAAGAATTCTGATTATATTAAGTCATCAAGTCATCTTAGTTGGGTTATTTTATAACCAAGAAATTAACCAAGAGATAAACATCACAACATCACTTATATTAGAGCCACGTCTATGTGTAGCATCTCAGCACCCACTTGGACTTGAGCTATGGACAGGGTCAGAGTGTACTGGCCTCCACAATCCAAATAAAATTCTTTTAAAATAATGTTTCCCATGTAGGACACTGTCTGTTAGAAAGTTCTTACAAATTTAAGATGTTCGTGGCAAGTACACAATTTATAATAGGAAGTATTTTTTTCTCTCAACTATATCACCAGGTTCATTTTTTTGTGTCCATTATTTTACCCCTTTCATTTGACCAAATTATAATGTTTGCTAATTTATAAGTTATATACAATATCAAATACTCTACCTTAAAGCATTTTAGATTGAGATGTAATTTAAAATAAGTATACTGATTTATTTATGGTTTTGGAAGGGGGTTCAAAATCCCCTTGTTATCCTAAAATATGGGACTTGAGGAAACAGCAGACCTTCTGCTGCCCACTGTAACTGAAGTAGGACATAAAAGAATTTTCTGACTGTCTTCTAAAGTATGTTATGTAAGTTAAATCCAGAGGAACCCAAAGAAAAAAGGTACACACACACACACACACACACACACACACACACACACACACACACACACACAAACACACAAAGAAAAGAAAAGAGAAGAAAAGAAACCTGAACAAACAGGCCTGCCTCCAGGCTATTAGTACTCCATCAGACCCTGATCTCCTGTAGTCATATTTCTCCAGAACTATATACTCCATCACATAGTACAAGTTTACCTATTTTTCCCAGGGGGCATTATTCTAGAGTGTTATCAATCATAATGTCTTATAAAACTTACATAAATATGTTTACTTTTCTCTTATTAATCTGCCACTTGATTAGGGAATATCAGTCACAGAGTTGGTATTACGTGAGGAGCCATACCTCTTCTAATCTATAGTTTCATTGTATATGTGTCACCTTCTTCCTTATAGTTTTTCTCGGCTTAAATGTATCACCACACTGCAATGTCTTAGAAATAGTCAGTGGCTTTTTCCTGTTTAATATTCCCAGAATTTACATAATAATAAAACAGTAAATATTCAAGAACAGTTGCTTAATAGATGGAATGCTAAGTGTTAGATTTAATGTTAAACATAATTGTGGTCAAGTTTAGTGGTGCAGACCTGTAATCTCAGATACTTGGGAGGCTGAGGCAGGAGGATCAAAAATTCAAGATCTTTATGGGCTACAGAGTGAGTTCAAGGTTGATCTGGACATCTTAGTAAGATTCTGACTGAAAAATACAAAGTAAAAATAGGGTTTGAGGATAGATCAATGGTCAAATATTTGCTTATCATGTACAAGGGCCTGGTTTTAATTTTTTAGATCTTCAAAACACACGTCATTGTGGCACAATGGTATTTCTTTTCGCTGTCAACTTGAACCAAATAATAAGGCACACAACATTATGTCTATGATCCAAACAGTCTGGAAGCTAAGTCAGGAGGATGATGAGTTATGGGTGGATCTACATTTCACAGTGAGTGCCAGGATAGCCAAGCCTTATATGGCATGTTTTGCTTTAAAAAAAAATCAGAAGACAAAGAGGAGGAGGAGAAGGAAGAAGGAGGAGAAATAGGAGGAGGAGCAGCAAGAGGAAAAGAAAAAGCAGGAGAGAGAGAGAGAGAGAGAAATGGAGTGGAGGCAGGCAGACAGGCAGATAGGCAGCCAGGGCATGTGGAGGGGAGATATTAAGGATAGGAAATGATTACCTTGCCGAAGTGTTCAATCAGGATTTCCACCACAATGTTCTGGAATTTGATGTTCATCATAGCAGCCACAGTGTCCTCTTGAGCTCTCATCAGGGTTGGCCCAAAGATCACCCCCATATTGGAAGGTGTCATAAGATTCTCTTTGCTGTGCTCACACACACTGCCAGGAGAAAAAGAAAATGATGAAAAAGATTCATTTTTCTAATAACTAGGCATATGCTGGGTGCTAAAGGAGATAAGAGACACCAAAAAAGTAAAAAAGGAGAGCCCTAAAGTACACATGGAAGGAAAAAAAAAACACAATGGAGAAAACTAGCAAGTAACACAAGATAATGTATGACTAGGAGCCAAGTGAGAGAGGAGTTAACTCAGCAACCCTGATAGAGTTAGGAGACAGATGTGGAGGTGGCAAAGGGTATCGAGAGGTAGGAGAAAGGTCTAAATATGCACAAGGCAAGGGGAACAGTAGGTCTAATGAACAGCAAAGGTGGCCAAGAAGTATTGTAGTGAGATATTCACCCCACCCGCACCTGTTGCACTGACCACGCCCATTGGGGCATGGGGACAGGTGTGGGCATGACCTGAGGAGACTAGGTCTGGAGTCCCAGACCCCAGCTTGCTCTCTTACTTCCTGTTCAGAGACAGAGAGAATCTGGAGGCATCCTTGGGATGGGAACCTGTAGTGGTCATGTTTCTGGTGTAAGTGATTTCTCCCTGAATAAACATCCATCAGCCTATTGTTTTCCAGATTCTTATTTACCACACATTATCTAGTGTCAGAAGTGGGCAACAGGTGTGGCATGGTGGCTATCTCATTACAAAGTATAACTCAGAGTTGGAGGGCTTTCCTAGCACTCCACTTTTTTTTTCCTTAAGAAGCAACAGTGATTAAGTGTGCCAACTAGTCATTCTAGTGAGGAATCTAGCCATTCTAGTCCCGCTATTAAAAAAAAAAAACCTGAAAGGACCAAAAAGGATACTATGGTTGACCACCCCTTAACCATCTTCTTCATCTTATAAAACAAAGAAGATGGACAAAGCATCTTCATGGAACCATAATTGTTGAGCTAGGGAGTAGGTCCTGCAATCTGACTGTCAGATCTCTGCTCACTCTGGGTAAATTCACACCACTGGTTACCCATTGCTTATAGGAGAAGGCAAAGTGTCTTTAGAGAGGGCAGTTTAAGTCATCTATAATTTGTACCCTATTTCTAATTCCTATGTATAGCCTAGGTTCTAAAGTTGACCCCAGTTTGGATTCCAACCACGCCCTCACAAGCTATGCAACAGGGGATTTTAATTCCATTCTCTCTGAGCTTCAGTTTTCCTACTTGTGTAAGTAGTGTCTATGTTAGAGCAGTAGAAAATAAATTCTGTGGCATTGCTTCTGCATGGTAATACCCAATGCTCTTGTCTTTCTGTAGGCACTTCTAACATTTAACAAGTGTTACACCAAACTGCTTAGTTTAGCATTTCCTGGATCCAACACGGTTATTGCAGACAGAATTCCTTATCTTTTTCTCATGTCAATCCTTTCCCTTGAATGTCCCCTATCCCATATCTAAAGAATGACTAATGGTTCTTGGCTATTTCCTTAGGTGACATATATCTCCTTTCAGGTGGCTGCATCTCCCTGTCTTCTCATCTTTTTAAGCAAAAGACTTTCTGTCTTTGTTAGCTGAAAACAAAGAAGAATGACTGTAGAAGTAAAGGCAGCATTCTGGAAGGCAGCCTTCCTTTTGGGTGTGAGAAAGACAATGGATTCCTGTTCTCCCTCTTTTGTAAAATCATCTTTTCAGTTTTTCATCTTTCTTTAAAATATAAAATATAATTATACCATTTCCATCTCCCCTTTCCTCCCATGCCCTACTTACCCCTTTCAAATTCATGTCCTCTTTCTCTTTTATTATTCTTGCTATGTATAAGCATATGCATAAATATATAAATAAAACCTGCTGAGTCCATTTAGTGTGGCTTTGTGTTTATATGATTTCACTCTGACCACTTGGTACTGTCCTTATTTTAACTGATACTACTGGCAAGGAGAATGCATTGCAATTTTCAGTTTAATTATCTGCTTCTTCTACTAGGTGGTAAACAACTTCTAACTGTGTTCCTGGCACACAACAGTTACTAATTAATTATTTTTATAGAACTGAACTCCACTCTTTTAAACTACTAGAGGCAGGCAAATGAAAGGCATGCAGCCCTTTGGCCAGTCTGGCTGTGGGGGTGTAGAGGTTACAATAAGGTGCAGGCCAGCTGCCCACTCAAAATACTAATACCCAAACCTGTCCAAGCCAAAGGCCCTGAGAGACTGACCCATCAACAAGCAAGTTCTTGACACTAAGTAGGTAATTAAGGGGGACAGAATCCTTAGACCAATCTTTATAATAAAGTCTCTTAAGCTCTTAACAAAGGCTGGGTGCCATTCAGATGGTAATGAGCTGCCAGCATTCAGGCCTTTGATATTTCTGGATGCTGATCAGTCCCTTTCAACAGTTTAAATGCCTCTGCAATTAACCTTTATTCTTTAGTGACAGAATTTGTTCAGTTATTAAAATAGAAAAGAATCTCTATGCTGCCACCAAGTGATCTGGAATGGTTAAACCACGGTGGACTAGGCAAGAACCCTCATCTCCTTTTATGAGCTTTGAAGGGACCTGAGATTGGTTCAACACCACAGTAGTTAGCTGAACATTCACAACTGCAAATGAAGGGTATTTGATTCTGAGGCCTGAGCTGAACCACCCAGGCAGGGTAAATGCTCAGTAATGTCAGCTTGGAAAGTCAGGTTATTCAAACCTGCATGTGTTGGTGTTCAAATGCTACTATTGTTCCACTACATCTTACTGCCTTCTTCTGTAGTTCTTTTTGGGAAACAGAAGCTTCTACAGGAGGATTTCTTTAGCTGCATGTACTTCTATTTCTCTGAGGGAGCTCCCTATTTTCTCTACTATATTCACCTTTCGCCACACAATTATTTTTATTTACAAGCTCTTTACAATAAATTTAATCTTTAAAAAGGGAGGTATAAATCACAGTTCAACTTGTATATTAATAAGAAGAAGAGTGAAATGAACTGCCAACATGGTAAACAGCAAATTATGTAGAGGTTTACAGTATTATTTCTAATCCATAAGGACTAGAACAAATGAATACAACTTCAGCATCAAAAATAAAAATAAAAAGTTTAGGTAATCCAACATAACTTCAGACTGTCCTCTAAATATTTGTGCTCATACCCATAGACAAATACTAGTCTTAGCCTGATCAGATAATCCCCTCTTTTCAGGAAATGGAATGAATGCAGAGATCTATGACTACAAAAAGTGCTGAGAATAAATGACAGTTAAGGGCTAAGCCCTAAACAAAACATCAATACCATCCTGCTAAGGTTCAAGGACTACTGGGAAAGAGGAGTGGAAAGAAGGTAAGAGTCAAAAGACAGAGAAAAGTGCTGTGAAACACTACCTTCTGGGCAATCACAAACTCATAACTACTGGGAACAACTGAATGGGGTCTGCTCAAGAAGGATCCTGTCACTGTCAGACAAAAATGGAGGAGGGGGGATAAAGGGGTCCTATCTGTCACTGATTAACTATTTGCTTCTGACAGATTTAGGAAGAGAGGAAGACATTGTCAATGGTTGTGCACCCACTATTGACCCCAGCAAGTTCCAATAGATAGTCCCAGTCTAAAACTTATACATATAGCCCTGGTTAACTAAGTAGGCTGTAAAGCAAACCCAAAAGTCATTACTCTGGGAAAGGGACTGGTATGTGGAGGGGATGGGGGAAGATGATAGGCATATGCAAAAGACGAAAGGCTGTAAAGAGAAAATAATCAGAATATATTACAAACATGTATGAAAATGTCAAAGAACTAACTTAATATAAAATTAAAACAAAAAACGAGTACTTGAAGGAGGTGATGCTCTCCACTGTAGAGGATAACATCTCTCATGGTATAGATTTGAAGAAATAAATTGTTTCAAGGAGCAAAGAGGTCATGCAATTGAGGTATATTGGCCTGGAGCATGTGTCTAATCCCTTTAAACAAGCACACATTCTCTAACCCACTATGGTATCATTCAATGTTTATTTCTTGCTTTATGAAATGACCTTCATCCTCTCTAATCTAATCATTACAGAAGAGAGGATGGAAAGAGGGTAAGGACCAGAGGGGATATATAACAACAAGGAAAAGGTATCCTCCTGACAAAACTGGGCAATTGTACATATGAACTCACAATGTTTGTGACATCACACACAAGAACTGGATATACCAAATTCCAACATGGAGAAGGCAGTTGGATGTGAAATCCCACTTCTCAATAAGGAGCTGTCAGCTGCTAGAAGATGAAGGTTAAATTCTTTTAAGAGAGTATAGGCCCTAATAAGTTGACCATAATCCAGTGGAAGGTCACACATCTATGAATATTTGAGCAGCAAAAAAAAAAAAAATGGACTCGATGGATTAGAACAAAAGACAGGAAATTGTGGCAGGGGGAGGAGAGGTGGTCTGGGTGGAGTTATGGGGGGCGTGAATATGATCCAAACACACTGCATGAAATTCTCAAAAAAACTAATACAAGAATCCCAAAAGACTCCCAGAGTCTGTGGCAAGTCAACAATTTGTACTACTTCAAAGAAGGAACCACTACTAAACTCTAGCGTAGCAGGCTGGGTGTGGTCAAATTCACTTATTTCTTGAAATCCAGATGTTAATGTGAATTACTTAAAATTTAAAATTTGGGAGCTAAACTGTCTTTCTGCCAAAAATACTCTAAGACAAAAAGAACATATTTGCACTCTGAATTCTACCCGCAGGCTATTCAGTTGAGTGAGACTTCTGGGTTACAAAGATAGCTGGCAGAAGGATTGAGCTATTTATGTGAACTTGTGAGTATCATCCAGCTTTAGGGTTCAGTGACTCTAAGAACTCAATGTACTCTGACTTCTAAATAAGGAGGCCACTTCCAATCATATCCCTGGTTCTATTACTAATGTACTGTGTGGCTTTGTGCCTATCTTTTTCCCATCCCTAAGAATCCGTTCTGTCATGTGTAAGGTGAAAAAGTTATTAGGTGATCGAAAGTGTATTTTAGTCTGCCAGGAAATGAATCTAAGAAAATCCTGCTCTTGAAAACAATGAGAA